ATATATTTTAAAAGCATGCATTCTATCTTATATCATGCATACCTCCCTAAAAGTTTTTAAAATAGCATTTTTGTTGTTGTTGTTGTTTAGAGGCTAAGTTGTGTCCGATTCTTTGCGACCCCATGAACTGTAGCCCGCCAGGCTCCTCTGTCCGTGGGATTTTGCAGGCAAAAATACAGGAATTGGTTGCCATTTCCTTCTCCAGGGGACCTTCCCGACCTGCATTGGCAGGCGGATTCTTTACCACTGAGCCACCTGGGAAGCTGATAATACCATTTGACACATGGTAAATACTTGATAAGCACATTTGGTGAAGGCATTGCCCTGCATTTGTGGCAGAGAGAACAATTTTATTCCTTTTTCTCTGTTGCCCTTCTTTTCTTCCCCTTTTGCTTCCAAAGAACTAAACACATGGGGGAGGATGCGGCCCCCGGGGACCTGGTTACAGGGTGGCCGTGGGCTCTGGGTGCCTTGCCCCTAAGAAGTGAGTGAGGTCATGGAGCCATTCACTGCAGTTCTGCTCTACACAGCTCCTGCTTCTTGAGATCCCTGCATGAATGAAAAGGAAATGCTGACATTCATGTATTTCAATAGACAGTTTGAAACAATCCACTTTAATGGGAATATGGCTTTAAGCTGCATCCTACAAGTTGATTACAAGGCAGTGTGGGAGGAGAGCTCACTGCTAGGGGAACTGAATGGACCAGGGCTCGGAGACAGGAGGGGGCCTGTTATTTCAGGAAGTAGGACAAGACAGTGGGTCTTGTAGGCGGTGAAATGAACAGAAAGAGATTAGGGATGCAAGCAGATACCCAATGGTGTGGGACTTCCTAGGACCATAGAAAAGTTTGCTTTTTTTTCCCCTAAAAGTTCCCCGCCCTCACCCCCCCCATACCCCGCCCCCCCCAAGAACAGTAGGAAGTGACTGGAGGTTTTTGAGCAGAAAAGTGACTATATCTTCTGTTTACTTGAAACGGTCCCGTCTGGAAGTCAGGTTGCTGTGTGGGGAGGATCTTAGAGGACCGGAAGAAGCAAGTTGGGGTTCTGCTGTGGCGGATGCTGTTCTCATCCAGGTGAAAGGTGATGCTGGCAGGGAAAAGGCTGAAACCTCTTGAAGGGCAGCCCTGAGGACTTCCCCGGTGGTCCAGCGGCTGAGACTCAGCCTTCCAGTTCAGGGGGCTCCGGTTCGATTCCTGATCGGGGAACTAAGATCCCACATGCAGTGCAGCCAATTTTTAAAAAAAATTTTTTAAAGGAGAGGGGCAGCCCTGAGATAGTTTCTCCAAGTCGGCTGAGTTGATCTGAGCAAAGCATCTGGATGATTCTGGACTGGACCAGAGTTTCTATGTCAGTTACATTCATTGTGACTGGTGATCCCTTTTAAAGTTGCTTTTGGAACACTCTGTCATGACCTATATGGGAAAAGAATCTTACAAAAGTGAATATATGTGTATGTATAAGTGATTCATTTTGCTCTACACCTGAAACTAACATAACATTGTAAATCAGCTATACTCCAATAAAAAAATTTTTTTTAAGTTGCTTTTGGCAGACAGAAAAGTTACCCCTAGGAAGTTTCCAAGAATAAATCATTTTCTAGGAACTATAAATAGAGGTGCCATTGCAGAAGATATACTTGGCAGCCTGTTGTGACACATTGCTATCAAAGCGGAGATAAAACAACGTGAGATGGGATGGCAAGCAGCAGGTTGGTTTGGCTGCCAGGTTGTTCCAAGGTTGATCTCTTTGATTATTGCTTAAGACGCTCTGTGCCTCTCCAGCTGAGGGACCCCAGGCTCACACCCACCCCTTATTGTCCCCCTCACATTCTGCAGTGTAAGGTAAGGGTGGCATGGTGATGTTTTTTTCCCCTGCATCACTAACAGGTAGAACTTGTGTTTATTCCTTTTCTATTGTGAAGAGCGAGGAGATCAAACCAGTGAATCCTAAAGAAGATCAACCCTCAACATTCATTGGAAGGACTGATGCTGAAACTGAAGCTCCAATACTTTGGCCACCTGATGTGAAGAGCCGACTCACTGGAAAAGACCCTGATGCTGGGAAAGATTGAGGGAAGGAAGAAAAGAGGGGGACAGAGGATGAGATGGTTGGATGGTGTCACTGACTCAATGGACAGATGTTTGAACAAACTCCAGGCGATAGTGAAGGACAGGAAAGCCTGGCGTGCTGAGTCCATGAGGGTTGCAAAGAGTCAGACACAACTGAGCAACAGACCAAAAGTTGTGAAGAGAAGCTGGGAAAAATGCAAGCCATCCCTTCCTTGGAACTGGATTTCAGCTCTTTCTACCGCATGGGATACAGCCTTTTAGAATCTTCCAGACACGCTGGATCATTCAGTAATCTTAACCCAAAAGACCCAGAGAAGACACTGACAGGATGGGAGGTCTTATGTGCTCATTTGGGAGACAGATTTTGTGTATCCTTCCTTTGCTCACTTGCTGTGTTGTGGCTAGTACCGTACTAAGGTTTTAGTTTTATTTTACTTACATATGTTGAAAATTTAGATTCAACTGGGGTTAAGTAATGGTGACTTTTCAACTTGAAGCAATGGTTTGGGAATTCCCTGGTGACCCGTGGTTAGGATTCCACGCTTTCATGGCTGTGGCTCGGGTTCAAAGCATAGTCAGGGAACTAAGATCCCACAACCCGTGCCACGTGGCCAAAAAATAAAAATAATAAAAAACAACACACACACAAAGTAAAAAAACAAGCTAAGTAGTGCACAAGGAGGGTGTGTATGTGTTTGTGTGTGAAAGTGTATTGATACGTGTGTATATACCACATGTGTATATTCCTATCATGTAAATACATTAGAAAAAAAAACAAAATGAAGCTAACCCATCAGACTTAGAATTCTGCAGTGCTCTTACTTAAAACAGGTTCAGTTCGTCTGGGAAGTTGGGCTTGAGTTGGTTTAAATAAAAGTATCAAGCAAGTCATTTTAAAAAAATAATTTTATTTATTTATTGGTTTGCTGGGTCTTCATTGCTGCGGGACTTTTCTCTAGTTGCCATGAGCGGGGACTACTCTCTAGTTGAGATGTGTGGGCTTTCCATTGTGGTGGCTTCTCTTGTGGGGGAGCACGGGCTGTAGAATGTGGGCTTCAATAGTCCCAGGCTCAAGAGCACAGGCTCCTGGGCTTAGCATGTGGCGTCTTCCTGGACCAGGGATCGAACCCATGTCTCCTGCATTGGTAGGCAGATGCTTTACCACTGAGCCACCAGGGAAGCCCAGGCAAGTCATGCTTTGAAGACAACATGTCTATAGTAAACTGTGTGCCCGAGGATAACAGCATCTGGACAATGGTGCTGAGGACTCTGTGTCTTCAGGCCTGAGCTCAGGCTTACCTGCTCCCATGGTATCTGTCCATTGTGAGTGTCCATCAGCCGTCCTCAAAGGCTCAGAGACAAATCCCTGGGTGACACTGTGCAGTGATCCCTAAAGCCTCAGAGAAGTGCACGCTCTTCGTAAAGGAAGGAGCCTGGTTGAGATAAAATCACTGTTCTTTCTCCCCCAGGATTTCCAGCTCTGATCAGGGAGCCGAACTGCTCTGCGTCATCACTTAGAAGTCGCTTAGTTGCATTCAACTCTTTGTGACCCCATGGACTGTAGACCTCCAGGCTCTGTCCACGGAATTCTCCAGGATGGAAGAATACTGGAGTGGTTGCCATTCCCTTCTCCAGGGGATCTTTCCAACCCAGGGGTAGAACCTGGGTCTTCTGCATTGCAGGCAAATTCTTTACCGTCTGAGCCACCAAACACACATCCTTTTTGTTGTTGTTATTATTAATGTCATTGACCATCAACTACCCTGGACATCTGCACATGTGGCTTTAAAAAGCCAGGGCAGCAGCACTGCCGTTGAAGATGTGAGAAGGGCATCAAAATCTGACCCAAGTCCCATCTTCCTGCATGTTCTTGAGACACTTGCGGTTAGAAATTAGGAGGAAAGTGCACCTGTATTGTGGAGACTGTTTCTTTTCAATTTTAGAGAAAAGGAGAGGAAAAAAGCAATTAGCACAGTCCTTTGAAGAATTACGCAGCAGGGGTGATAGCAGCTGAGATAAAGAGTGAGGAATCATTTTATGAATTATAATTCATGCTGAGAAATCGATTGAGGGTGAATAAAGTGGTAACTTTAAAAGCAGAAAGACGATTCTTTGCCTATTTCAACTTAAGGATGCCTGGAGAAGTTCAGAGGGGAGGGATGAAAGAGATGAGGACTCAGACATGAGATAAAGTGCCATGCAATTCAGAACATTAGGAAGATTTAGAGGGATCCGTCAAACAAAGGCACCCAGCGGCTGTGATTCTCGGCTCTCAGGAGTGTACCTGGATTTGTGAAGAAAGATTTAGAAGCTTAATTTACATACATGAAAGTCCATTTTTAACTTCCAATGAAGAGGCTGTACCACCCAGTGTGGTATTACATCAGATATTCCCTGTATCTCACAATAAATTTATTCTAGCACTGTCCTTCCTAACAGAATTGCAGAATGAGCTTTTCAGGTCAACTGATGTTATTCCAACTTCTCTCTTCCCTATCTCTCCTCTAACCCCCCTTTCCAGAGTGCTAATAGCCCATTGGTCCTTTTTGTTTATTTTTCCTGACCTGGGCTTTACTAAGTCATTGGGAGGGGATGGCTCATAGTATTTTTTATCCTTGCCTTTAGCCAGCCTGTGCTGATTAGGAATGCTTTTGTCTGTAAGTTCCCAGGTGGCTCAGTGGGTAAAGAATTCGCCTGTAACACAGGAGACATGGGTTCAATCCCTGGGTCGGGAGGATCCCCTGGAGGAGGAAATGGCAACCCCCTCCAGTATTCTGGCCTTGGAGAAATCCTGGACAGAGGAGCCTGGTGGGCTGCAGTCCATGGCGTTACAAGAGTCAGACAAGAGATACGTTCGTAAGGTTACTCCTTTCTGCCCGTGGACGCCACCGAGAAAGCATCGTTGAAGACTTCCCCGCCTCCACTGCCGTCATGTCTAAATCAGAGTCTCCCAAAGAGCCCGAACAGCTGCGGAAGCTCTTCACCGGAGGATTGAGCTTTGAAACAACTGATGAGAGTCTGAGGAGCCATTTTGAGCAATGGGGAACGCTCTCAAACACCAAGCGCTCCAGAGGCTTCGGGTTTGTCACATACGCCACGGTAGAGGAGGTGGATGCGGCCATGAATGCAAGGCCACACAAGGTGGACGGAAGAGTTGTGGAACCAAAGAGGGCCGTGTCAAGAGAAGATTCTCAAAGACCTGGGGCCCACTTAACTGTGAAAAAGATTTTTGTTGGTGGCACTAAAGAAGACACTGAAGAACATCACCTGAGAGATTATTTTGAACAGTATGGAAAAACTGAAGTAACTGAAATCATGACTGACCGAGGCAGTGGCAAAAAGAGAGGCTTTGCGTTGTAACCTTTGATGCCCATGACTCCGTAGACAAGACTGCCATTCAGAAACACCACACTGTGAATGGCCACAACTGTGAAGTGAGAAAAGCCCTGTCTAAGCAAGAGATGGCTAGTGCTTCATCCAGCCAGAGAGGTCCAAGTGGTTCTGGAAACTTTGGTGGCGGTCGTGGAGGTGGTTTTGGTGGGAATGACGACTTTGGTCGTGGAGGAAACTTCAGTGGTCGAGGTGGCTTTGGTGGCAGCCATGGTGGTAGCGGATATGGTGGCAGTGGGGATGGGTATAATGGATTTGGTAATGACGGAAGCAATTTTGGAGGTGGCGGAAGCTACAATGATTTTGGCAATTATAACAATCAATCTTCAAATTTTGGACCCATGAAAGGAGGAAACTTCGGAGGCAGAAATTCTGGCCCCTCTGGTGGTGGAGGCCAGTACTTTGCCAAACCACGAAACCAAGGTGGCTGTGGTGGTTCCGGCAGCAGCAGTAGCTATGGCAGGGGCAGAGGGTTTTAATCACTGCCAGGAAACAGAGCTGAGCAGGAGAGGAGAGCCGGAGAAGTGACAGGGAAGCTAGGTTACAACAGACTTGTGAACTCAGCCAAGCACAATGGTGGCAGGGCCTCGCTGCTACAGAGAAGACATGTTTTAGACAATACTCATGCGTATGGGCAAAAAACTCGAGGACTGTACTTGTGACTAATTGTATAACAGGCTATTTTAGTTTCTGTTCTGTGGAAAGTGTAAAGCATTCCAACAAAGGGTTTTAATGTAGATTTTTTTTTTTTTGCACCCATGCTGTTGATTGCTAAATGTAATAGTCTGATCATGACGCTGAATAAATGTCTTTTTTTTTTTTTAATGTGCTGTGTGAAGTTAGTTTACTCTGAAGCCATTTTGGTAAACTACCCCAACAGTGTGAAGTTAGAATTCCTTCAGGGTGATGCCAGGTTCCATTTGAAATTTATTTACAGCCTGCTTGGTGGAGAAGCTGTTGTCTTCAGAACCTTGGTGTAGTTGAACTGACAGTTAGTGTGTTGTGACCTGGAGTTCACCATTAAAAGGGTCACCCATGCAAAGTCATGGAGGTTTTTTTTTTTGGTTATTAATGATTGTTGGCACATCCTATGCAATATATCTAAATTGAATTATGGTACCAGATAAAAGTTATAGATGGGAATGAAGCTTGTGTATCATCCATTATCATGTGTAATCAATAAAAGATTTAATACCCTCTTGAAAAAAAAAAAAGAGTCAGACAAGACTGAGCAAATAGCACTTTCACTTTCAGTACACAGTGATCACTATTATTATTACTATTATTATTTTCTTTCAGGGAGGCAAGGGCATTCCATGAGACTTCTGATCGTATCTCATTGGCCAGAGCTGAGCCTGACTTCCAGCAGATCATTGCCCTGGAGAACCGAGGTTACCTTTGTTGGCTGATGTTTTGAGCTCCAGAAGGGAGTAATTTTCCTGAGACCAAGGACATTCACATGCTATTGGATCAAATGGAGCTGCTGCCAAGAAGGTGGGTAGATAAGATACCAGGAAGGCAGAAGAGGGGTCAGCCGTATACTACTTATGCCATTGAGTGATGAAAGGATCACTGTTTTAAAGACACCAATGAGTTCATCTGCCTAAGGAGGTTTCTGCAGAGGTGGGAATGACAGTTTGCTTTGTATTAACTCAGACTTGCTTACTTCTTCAATTAGCATTAACCGAGCACCTACTGAGTCAAGGCTCTGTGCTGGGCCCTCTGGACACGGTACTAAGTCAGGAGGGCCAGGACTCAGGCTCGTGGAGTTCACAGTGTAGAGTGGGAGACCCACCCTGAGAAGCCAGTGAACAGGTGACCTCAGAGACTGGGAAGGGCTGCCGGAAGCAGCCAAGGGTGGAAGGGGAGAGACTCACAGCTGTGGAGGCGAAGTGTCTGGTTCCCACTGAGCGGGGAAGTGGGGGAGGAGAGGCACGAAAGGATCTGATGTATTTGAACAGAGACCACAGTGATGACTAGAGATTGTATGAAATCAATGACCACCATTGAATTTTGAGAGAATGAGCAGGTTTTCCTGTTTGTTAGGTATAAGGTATGCATCTCAGTTTCTCTGTCTACAAAAGTGGATCAAAATGATGGGTTACCGCCACAGAGGGTCACCCCACACCAGTCTCCACTTGGCTGACTTCACCCCTCTGTACAAGCATCAACCATGTTTCTATAAGATCCAGGCAAGGTAAGAACTGGGGGTGGGGGAGTGTGGAAAGGATGAGGCCACTAATATTAATAAAAGGCCCTCATCAGAGTAGCCTGCAGGGCACGGGGGACCTGTGAGTACTGGGTCCTAGGATGCCCTGAGTCTGCAGGCGACTGGTTCCAGCTGTGACCTGGTCAGTCCAACCATCCTCCTTCCTCTTCAGGGTGTGTCTTACTAACCCATCTTCCAGGGTCTGTCTCCTCTCTAGACATAGCATCAAGGGCTGTCACAGGATGTGGGGACCCACTAGGTGACCTTGGGGGTTAGCTCTGATCACTCCTTTTAGTCTGCTCTGCTGTCTCTAATAGGAGTCAGCCCTGTTCCCTCTTCCGCTCAAGAGAGGTGACAAGTGAATGGAGAGTTGAAACATACGTCTGAAATCTGTGAAGCTGACAGACAGAACCAGAAACTATGCTGAGGTGAAACTGACAATCAGACAAAGAACGCGGTTTATTCTTTTCCAGAGGGATGAAATCAACTGGGTGAAGACTGGTGTAGGGTGGCCCTCTGTGACCAGATTTCATTGGCGGAGAAGGTAATCCATTATTTTGGATTTGCTTTTATAGACAGAAAGACTGGGATATATACATGATACCTAAGAAACAGGAAAGCCTGCTCATCCTCCCATAATTCAGATGGTGGCCATTGATTTAATACAATCTCTAGGGAACTCACTGGCATGTTGAGGTTTTGTGTTTTTTTTTTTTCAAACAGAGATTAGTAGTTAGAACGACCACCATTTCAAGGATTCACCTCAAGAGAGCAGGAGTAATGAAGACCTGGGATGCTGAGGGTGACTGAACCCCAGGAAGTCCTCTATAAACTCTCAAATGCCACAGGCTGGCAGAGGGGAAGTGAAGACTTGGTCCCTGGGCACCAAAAACCAGCCCTGGAGGAAGTTACCTGCTAGTTAAACCGCCACCTGTCGATCTGGAGTGGCTACCTCTTCCATCAGTCTTTCCCTGCCCTCTGGGTATGGATGGATTCCACCTGGAAAGCTCCTGAATCCACAGTCGGTGACACATGTCGTAAGGAAAACAATACCAGGTAATGGGATCAGAGGCTGGAGTGGGTGGGGCTCCCTTAGAGAAAAGGGCTGCTCTGGGAGACCCTGCCAGGAGGGGTGTCTGAATCCCACAGCGGAGAAGAGGCCAAGTTGGCCAAGATTGGATGGGGGGCCAGAGGGGGGCAGTTCCAGGCAGGGGAACAGCAAACGGAACAGCTCAGAGGAGGGCGGTGTTTTGTCTGTTTAAATGATTTCTATAGATTTTTACATTTAATCATCACAGTAACATAACAGAAGAGCTGAAATTAGTCCCCATAGGAAAATCAATAACAACTTTCAGGAAATCACTTGGTGAAAGATCGAGGCCATGGGTGTGGGTCTCAGAATCTGTTCCCTGCTGCGTACTGAACTGCAGGTGGATGTGTGCCGGCTGCGGCTCATATAATTTCAAACTTCACGCATGACCGTGACCTCCCCGTCTCAGTTGCAGGTCTCTTATGTGCAGTAATCTCTCCCCTTCTCACTTCCCAGGGTGGTTGTGAGAGTTGCAGATGCAAAGCGGGTCTCAGAATCAGGACACGGTGTGGGAAGGAAGGTGCAGTGACTCTCACAGACACATGCCAGGCTTCCTTGGGTCAAAAAACTAATCGTGGGACTGCCGGGGTGGTCCAGTGGTTAAGAATCCACCTGCCAAGGCAGGAGACACAGCTTTGATCTCTGGTCTGGGAAGATCCCACAGTGCCTCGGGGCAACTAAGCCCCCGGGCCACAACAGTTGAGCCTGTGCTCAACAAGAGAAGCCCCCACTAGTGAAAGTCAGCATGCAGCAATGAAGACCCAGGGCAGCCAAAAGTATATAAATAATTCATTAATCGCAGCGGTTGTGTGTGACGGACTGGGTCTACCATCCTGCATATGCTATTAGGTTATTGCTCGAAGTAAAGATTCCATTTAACAATGAAGCAGCAAGGGAGGAAGGAGCAGTGGGATGAATTGGGAGACTGGAGCTGACATATATACATAAAATAGATAACTAATGAGAACTTACTGTATAGCTCATGGCACTCTACTCAAGGCAATGGCCTGTGGTGACCTAAATGGGAAGGAAATTCAAAAAAGGAGGGATATATATATGTATATACACTTCTGAGGTGGCTCAGTGATAAAGAATCTGTCTGCCAATGCAGGAAATGCAAGAGACACAGGTTCGATCCTTGGGTCAGGAAGATCCCCTGGAAGAGGAAATGGCAACCCACTCCAGTATTCTTGCCTGGAAAATTCCATGGACAGAGGAGTCTGGTGGCCTATGAGACTGCAAAGAGTTGAACACAGCTGAGCAATTGAGCATGCACACACACAGCTGATTCACTTTGCTGTATAATAAAGCTAGCACAACACTGTGAAGCAACTATAATCCATAAAAATTTTTTAAAAATGAAGCAGCAACTGATCAGGGATTCTGAATATCATTTCCCAGGTCTCAGCACATTGCACAAAAATCTGAGGTATTCAGTGGCTGAATTAGTGAGGAATCGTTGAAGGAAATTCGGGGCCAAGTGCTGAGTTCAAGTTCTCCCCGCTTCTAGCTGGGGATCCTTGAGGGACACATCCAGCTTCTCAGAGCTTCTGTCTGTCAAGTGAAGACAGTCATCCAACTCAGTGGTTTTGAGCTGTAGCCAGCATCTCTTCTCCTGACATCACAAGCCTTCTTCTGCTTTCTGGGATGGGCATGGGAGTTTCAGCATTTACAGCATCACTGATGAAAGTCATTTCCAAATTCCATCACAGCATGTCAGTGTGGAAATTAGAGGAGTTCCCTGGCAGTCCAGTGGTTAGGATTCCACATTTCCACTGCAGGGGGCCCAGGTTTGATCCCTGGTCTGGGAACTAAGAGCTTGCAAGTAGCCTGTGCACATGTGCATGCGCAGTTGTGTCCAACTCTTTGAGACCCCATGGACCACAGCCCACCAGGCTCCTCTGTCCATGGGATTCTCCAGGCAAGAATACTGGAGTGGGTTGCCATTTCCTCTTCCAGGGGATCTTCCCAACCCAGGGATTGAACCGTGTCTTTTGTGTTTCCTGCATTGGTAGGCAGAGTCTTAACCACTGCGCCACTTGGGAGGTGGGGTCAAAAAAAAGAAAAAAGAAATTAGATCAACTCTGGCATTAGCAAGCCCCCTGAACACTGAACAATATAAATTCCCTGGTTCAGGAGCTGTCTCTATCCCCCACCATTCTCTATCTATTTTCCTGATA